AACCAAGTATCATTTTTCTGTAAAAATCATTACATTTTGTTTTCTGCTTACATTGCTCCTTTAGATACTTAGTTGCAGTTTTCTTTATTTCTTCCCAGCCTAGAGGAACCTTATTTTCTTAACCTGTGATCTTGGATATTCCTGAAAACAAATTTAGGAGAAATTACTATGCTGGTGTTCTTTGTTTTCCATTTCTTCACCATCTTCTACCAAGAGATGTTTTTGAATTTTTTTTTTTTGAGATTTAACACACCTCAGTGTATGCCTATGGTGGGTATTTTTTTGAGCTAGGTTTAAATAGACTTGCTTGGAGATAAGAAACAGAATAGCAGCAGTCATTCAGAGCAAGATGCAGACTAGCAGGGAAGGTAACTGTCAGATATATGCGAGAATGCATTTTGGCAGTTACTCTTTTAACTTCTTCGTCATGACAAAAGCCTCCCTGTATTTCAAGGTCTTAGATGTTTGTATTGAGTAAAACGGAGGAACCTGGGGGGGCAGTTCAAATTAATTAGACGTGTTAGAATTGTTTTCTCAGGGCTTAAAGTTGTTGCTTGAGAGATATTTATGTTAGAAATTCCTTCCCTGACAGGTACAAATAAACGTTTATTGTATGTGATGGTAAATAGAGAGATGCCCCTGCAAGCTCTGGCATTTCATCTTGTGCATGGAGCAGAGGCGTGGGAGCCCAGTGTGCTGATTGTAATTCCTAGGTCTGAAAAAATGTTAATTTGTTAATACCCTGCAGCTACTGTCTTCCGGACACAGGCTGTAGGGGAACCTCTGCAGTAATGTAGGTATGTTTGCTGTTTTGCAGATGCAGGAACTGGGGTATGTTCAAGTGACACGAGCTAGTGGAAAGCAGAGTGAAATGCCATCTTTAATCTGCGCACTCGGGTTTCAAGACACATCTTTTAATGCTGTTACTTACCAATAAAGCATTATGGTACTTTGGTCTGCTTATGCATAGGGTTCTGAAAAACTGACAAACTTTCCTGCCCTGGTTTTAGGATGTTGCTGTGCCAGTAAAGCAACACATGTAAATGACAGCAACCTGTGACTTAAACTGAATTTAATTCCCTTAAGTTTTCAAAGGAAGCAGGCTTTGCGCTAAGGCGCTTGTTTGCAGGCTGAAGCAGCTATGTGCAGTTACACATATCCTGGTGCTGCTTCTGACAACTTCAGAAGGGGGTAGAGAGGATCAATCTCCCACCTGAGTGGCAGTGCAGCTTGCCACAACTCCAGTGTTGAGTTTGGCAGGTCTCAGTGGAAGATACTTACTGTAATTTCATTTATTAAGAGTGAATTATGTACCCCAAAGTTGTGCAGTGGTAAAGAAGTGAACAAAACCAGGGAGGTTCCTAACTTGACCTTGATCATATAGCTGCTGCTGATGCCACAGGGCTTTCACAGACCAATTCCTCCAGAAGCATCCAGGAGGCAATTCCAACCCACATCCTGCAACAGATGGCTGTTTGTTCTAGTTGACAGACCTAAGCTTTGTTGGTGGGTAGGTGGGTGGTTTTATTAGGACTTGGCTAAGGATTTCAGTTCATCTTGTGCAGATTTTAGAGGGTATGTCCTCAAACCGGAATTAGTTTGGGAAGTATGTCCCCACTACAGAGCCCTACTTGCGGCAGACTTGAGCTAAGGCTGTACTAGCTTAGATGGTGCACCAAGCAGGCAAGATGGTGTTTGTTTTATTTGTATGATCTCATTTCAGCTGGACAACTGGTCTGTCCCAGCAAATAAGTATCTACACTACCGTCACCACACTGTGCATTTTGGTCTCTCTTATTTTCAGCTCATGGTAACAAGCGCATCACAATGTACCAGTGACTCCTGAGATACTTCACAAACTGCTGCCTCAGATCTTTTGAAATAGGTTGCCACACCTTCAGCCAAAGAACAAACCCATCCAAAAAAGGAGAGGAGAAAAGCAACACAGGAATTTTTCACTCCTTGCCTTACTAAAGGATCCACTTCATGTAGGATTACACACTAATATTTATATAGCCTGCTTTGTTTTTGTTGGGGATGTTCAAAGGGGACTTCAGTGTTGTAGTGAAATGTGGGAGATGTGGATGAGCAGCTGACTGGAAGTTCAAAAGCAGTTGTATAGAATGAAAGCTGGTTTATTTTCCACATGCCAAGAATCAGTTTTGTTTTATTTAGATGAAACCAGATTATGGCATTGAAAATCCAAGTGTATTAACATTCTTACATAAAGCAAGTTGGGAAGCGATGTTACAGTTGAACTAATTGTTAGTTATACAAATAGTCTTGCTGCATATTTTCTTAAGACTCCAAGAATGTTTTGTGATACAATACGTTTGGGGAGTTTTTATTCTGAGGGGAAAATAGGGCAGTAAATGACTTAGGAATGAAGATATTAAATGTGGGGTTTTCTTCACTTGAGATCACGCTTAAAATTGATTAAATATTTGCTTTCAAGCATTTAATCTTCATCTTTGAGGCACAGACATGCTACCTCTGATTTTCTTCTTCATCTTGTTGTAAAGCTCTATTCAAACCTTTGTGGTGACTTACATAGTGAGTAATGCTATGTAGGATCAGCATCCCTCTTTTGTTGAGGTCCTGCTTTTGTCCTGTTGTTCGCTTGACATAACCAGAAAGAAGGGCTAATGATTGCTGAGTAGTAGCTTGTGATGAATTTGAGCGCTGGGCTTTTCAAACCCTGAGCCTTTCACTGTCATTGCTGCCAATAATTACTGCTTCTGTACTGTTCAAAAAAAAAAAAAAAAAAAAAAAAAAAAAAAAAAACAAAAAACAAAAACCCTGTTCTGCGCATCTCAGGGAGGAAAAAAAAGGAATCTCTGTTGGTTTTATTATTATTGAAAATAATAAAATCGAATTTTTTGTAAGGAAGATGGGATTTTTCCATTTAGGTATTTCAAATTTAATGTTGTGGCGTGTTTAAACAGTGATTTCTAAAAGGTCTGGGTTTAAAAAAGAAAAAGCTTCATGACTTTTGTAATCTCTTTGACCTTTTTCTACTCTGCAAAGGTAAGCATATAAAACAACTGAAATACATTTTAAAATGGGGAAAAAAATAAAAAGGTACCCTCCCTTTGTGTCCCAGAACATAGTACCTGTGTTTGTACTAATACAAATTATTCCCATGTGAACATCTTAAGGTCTGTCTAGGGACATAGTTTATCTGTAACTCTTTAATTCCAGGTAATTGATTACCCTGTCTGAGATGATTTCAGGCTTTACTGGGTATAGCATTTGAAGTGACTCACTGCAAGAGTGGAAGGTGGTTAGGAGTCATACCTTGGGGAAGAAGGGGGTTGCTGGGATGTGAGAGGTACTCTTAGGAGTTGGCATTAATGAGAGCAGCTGTGAAGACAAAAAAAAAAAAAAAAAAACACAACCCAAAACAAAACACAGCGCAAACATCTTGAGGAACAGCTGTAGAGTTTCTCTTTTTCTTGAACTGGGGCCTGGGAAATTCCTTTTGGGAAGGAACGTGTTAAGACTTGTTACCCTCTTTTTGTGAGAATAGTCTTTCAGAAGGAACTGCAGAAGTCACATTCAGCATTTCTCCTTTGATTACCTATTAAAAATACATATCTTGTTTGTCAGACTTTTTACACTCAGCTAACTTCTCTTGTTTTGATACAGTGTGTTAGATTTACAGTGACGGGCCTGCATTCTCTGTTCCTCATTTCTCCTGCTATTAAATTCTATATGCTGCACTCTCCCAAAGATTGCACAGACATCAGCTTAAATATGCTGTGGTTTTACATATCGCATATTTCTAGATGCATGACAAAGAAGAGGCATGGACAAATGTCCACAGCGTTCATACATATACTGTGGGTTTTGCATCTGGTAGGCAAATCTGCATTGGCAGAGGGTGCTGTAACCAGTGGCCCCCATCCACTGTAGGGTATCAGGAGTTGGTAATTGCTTAAACTAGGGTGAGTCAGTTGAGGTCTGTCCTTTTGAGCAGGGCAGTGGGGAAAACACCTGAGATGCCTGTATTATTAACTTTGTTTCAAAACCCTGCAAAAAATAAATTATTATTTTCAGTGCCCCTGATTCCACTTTGATAGGACAATTTTTTGCTTGCCTGCTGGACACTGAGCCACGTTGTTCTTCAGAAGTATTTTGCTACTATGACTTAAAGTACTGAAATCCTTCTTCAGTACGTTGAACAGGTTTTAGTATTTTCCTTCACTAAGTGGGAATAGCTTCAAGCTGTTATTTAAAACTGCTGCCACAGGATGGGGCTGTTGCACTGCCCAGATATGATCTGTCATCAATTTGAATTGCAACCGAGCACTGTTTTCAGTGCTAACCCTAAAACTACACTCCTGTCACTTTTCTGTATTGTTCACCAGTCCATGTAGTGTGGCCTCAGTTTATCCACTTTCAAGAGGTAGGAAATTTGAAATAAGGTGTTGTTGGCTTGCTAAGCGTAGATCAACTTTGTTTCTTTTAGAGTCAGCTTTGCATCACATGACAAGCTCAGGTAGTGAGGTAATAATCCACATAAAGGGGATTTGGTTCATGTATCGCGGAATATGTTTAATATTTAATTTGAGGTTTTTTAAGCCTTTATTAAATCCATATTTGTGTTTTAGAAATGTGCCAAAAAGTGTTCTAATGAAGCAGCACCTGGGGGTTAATAAATGATATCATGAATCCATTCTGATTGCCAAGAAAGATTTTAATAAAGGAAGCCATGCCCAGGGTTGACTGTTTCATCCATGAGGAATAATTGTTTTGTTTCCATATTTCTTTTATTGGTTGAGTAAAACAAGTTTGCTTTTTAGCATCAAGTCATTTATAATTGTCCTGCATGTCTCTGTGTACCATTTGCATAAAGATCGAGCCCTCAGCAGGTCTGCCTGTGCAAATTGTAAGAGTGTGAGAGCTATTATTTTGATTGCATGAAGAGCTTCCATCTTTTACTGCCTTCCACATTCATCTCATTTTCCTCTGTTTCCTTTTCTCTTCCCATCATTCAGGGTAAAGTGAAATCTGAAGAGGGGCCAGGGTGGAATATACTGCGTGATGACTTCATGATGGGAGCATCTATGAAAGACTGGGACAAGGAAAGCGATGGAGAGGGCAGTATTGAACAAGGAGGTGGTCTGAAACAAGAAGATGACAGTGACTGAATGAAACTGAAAACCATTCAAGATAATGTTTTATCTTCTTAACTTTGTTTGGATAAAAAGTCAGCATTCTGTGAATGTACAACACTTGGAGGATATTTCTTTTTTTTTAAAAAAAAAAAAAAAAACAAACTTGCACAACTTTGGAGTGTTTTCTCCTCTGTGTCAAACTTTTATTTAATATAGCTTCATTTGCTATACTGAAATCCTGAAATATTTTCCAAAACATGTATAATTTTCAACATATTTCCAAAACATTTTGTACAGTCAAAATAGTGGCACCTGCCCAATGAAAGAAAGATTTTGCCAAGGTCATTAAAAGTTTATACATTAGTCATGGCAATTGATGTATTAGTGTGCTTGCATTTCCAAATCAGTGTTGCACTTTGAAAAGTTGTTAGCAATTCGCAATAGAAATGGCTTACAATAAACACAGAAATGCCGTCACCTTGTAAAGTTATCGGACTCATATAGTCTCTTTACTACTTTAGCCAGAAAGGGTTTTGTAGATAATAAAGAAAAGTAACCTTTAATGTGATAGTTCTGGTCTTGAAGCATTAGTTTGATTGGAGACAACTTTGGAAACATAATTTAAAAAGAGAGACTTGACCCTACTGATTGGCTTTTATATTTTTATATATATATTTACGTATGTATGTATGTTTTTTCCATTGCAAGTCTGAAGTTGTATAAGGTAAGAGACTGGTAAGAGAGGAAAGGACAGTCATTGCTGTTGTTTTTGTTGGAGGAGAGAGGGCTTTTCTAGTGATACCACACAGAATTGTATTCAGTGTTGCTTCTTTTGCAGTTCTGGTGTTCTGGCCTTTTTCAGTAAGGAGCTGGACCTCTAAGATACATCCCGTGGGTTTAGTCAGCTATAATGCTAATGCCACAGGTCTGTAGAGGGTCAAACAAAAGCCCTTCCTCTTAAGTGCATACTGTAACAGTACCAAATTCTGGAAGCTATCTGTCAGCATAACACTGTTGGCTTTAAGCTACAGCATTTTCTCCTAATTAGTTGTTTGGTTGCAAAGGTACAAAAGCTAACATACATAATAAAGAGTATATTCTGTATAAGCATGTGCATACAGAAGGAAGTGCATTGTGTTTAAGGTGTTCTAAATGGGAGGCTGGAGTCGATTTCTGCTGCCTTCACTGTTCCAGACTGGCTGGCTGGTGTGGTGTCGTTTGTTTAATTTTGCTATCACATTTCCCCATTTGCTATGTGAAGAAAATGCCTTGGGGCCTATTAATTGATACTGAAAATACATAGTACTATTCTGTCTGTTTCTACAGATGTCTTGCATACAAACCTTTCTTTGTACCTGCTTACATGCAAGATACAATTAGGAGTGACTTTCAAATTTTCAGTCTTCAGCATTGAAATGTGTGGTAGGACAGTGGATTTAGATTTTTCTAACAAAGGCATTGAGGAGGGGAGAGGGTTTGAACTTCGTGTATACTGCAGGATATAAAATATACATAGAAATGGCAGAGAAACCCATCCTAACACCTGGCAATGGTTGTGTTATCACTAGCCTATTCATCTGGTATAAGTTGTAGCATAATTCTTTGAGGAGAACTCAAAGCTAACAGCAGAAGTGTTTAGGTTTTCAAGCTGTTTTGAGTGTTAAACATATTAGATATCTGAGGAGACATTAGTACGTGGCCTGATATTTATTATCACAAATGAAGGCATACACCCAAAATATCAAGTGACAAAACCACAGAAGTTTGACATACGGTTATCCCAGCTTCTGAAGGCTAGACATCTGTATAGCTGTTCAGCAAGAGCTGGCATCTCATTAGTGCCATACAAAAATACACTACAATGAATTTTGAGTCTATGAAGCAGCATAATACTCTAATCTGACATTGCTTTCTGTCTACAGTGTTCAGTTTACTTCGTGTGGGAAAATTACATCAGCACCCTTAAATCTACAGTTGTTCTCTACTTTGATATCACCAGTCTCTGCCTGAGATCAAACTTTTGGAAAATAGTTTTTCTTAGGAACTACAACATCCTGAGGTCATTATTAAAAATGTCAAAATACTTTCAGAATATTTCTAGAACATTTGGGTGTTTATGAATTTTATTTGTGCATTTTTGAAGTAATGTGTTAAAGCACTGAAGTGCCACTTGTGTATTTGATATAATGATGTTGCTAAAAATACCTTGAGCTTCCATTTCGTTTAGAGCACATAGCAGTACTTTTTGCCTATAGGTGGAGAGCATTTCTTGCTTTTTAAGAAGCATAATACTCAGATCTTTATATATATTGGATAGTTTTTTGATACTGCACCTTGCCATTGCCTTGTCCTTTGGTTATGCCATATGTGGAGAAACTCATTGAATAATTTAAATTAGCAGCTTCCTCCAAAAGAGAAATAAGCTCAGGGCTCTAATGGCAGGTCGGAGTGGTATATTTTAATTTCAGGCATTTGGTGGCTGATTTATTTCACAAGTTTTGTTTTAATTGACTAGTAGTTCAAAGAATAGCTAAACCCTGTTTGGCTCAGACACCTCCCAGTCTCCTCTCTCAGGGGTGGGATCAGCTGTCTTACCTGCCTTCCTACCCACTTTTTGAATAACGTTCTTTCTTTTTGATAGCTACCAAGAACAACCTTCAGCAGCTTTTCCCAGCCACCAGAGTACTCAGTCTGTTTTGCCTGCTCCCATGAATATCTCTGCTAAAGCAAAGCTGAGCTGCTGCCCTTCATTCCAGAGAGCATGAATCATCTCAACTTTGTATATTTCTGTACCTATCTATATAAAGCCAATAAGGATGGGGTGGTTCCAGTTTTGTTAGGCTTCAAGCCAACTCCAGAGTATGTAGAGTTTAATATTCTATGGATTGCATGCAAAGCAACAAAGTTTTGTTTAATAAGAGAAGGCACAGGGTCAGCTCTTCCCCATGTCTCTTACCCTCTGGCCTAATTTCACTTCCCATTAATTGTGCTAACTTTTTTCAGCAAGGAAAGCATGAGTTGGCCTATGGGGGGGAAAAAAAAAAAAAAAAAAACAAAACCAAAAACAAAAATCCAGCAAACATCATCTTGCTTTTCTTCAGCCTGCTGTTAGGGGAAACACTTTGCGAGTGGTGGTGGAATATCCTTGTTGTGCCTGATGCTACTGCACCACAGCATCTTCCCTGCTAAAACAGGGAGGGAAGAGCTCCCAGTTCTGCAGCTGCGAGGCAGGTTCTCCTGGGTTTGCAAGCTGAGCAGGACAAAAGAGCTGGAGGCTGCTTCCTAGCAGAGATAGGGCTTTTTGTGTGTGTGCTTTGTTTTAAAGAGAGAAATAAATTGTTTGAAGGCCGTAAAAGTGTTTTGACTATCTGATGCTTCCAGAAGAAGGTGGTCTGTAGGGCCACATCTGTTCAGAGCTGGCTCGGTAGCTGTCTCCAGGGAGGAAGGCAGAAGACATCTGGCATACAACACGCTGCACAACTTAAAATGACAAACTCCTCATTCTTGTGAAATGAGTCCTGGCATAGCTAATATCCACACAGAGCAGTCATCAATGTTGTTCACTTCCAACCCCTGCAAATTGCTCAATGATTTCTTCAAGACTTGCTGAGGTAAGGAGTAAGAGGGCCAGGAGAAGGCGTGAGGTAGTGAAGACACTTAGGATCTTGTTAAATAGATAGGATCCTAGTGCTAAATAAGAGGTTAAATTTAGACTCTAGGACCTCAGTGGCAGACGCTGGAGTTTTTGGTTAACAGATGGTGGAAGACTCGATTTCTTTTACTGCTCTTCTAAGGCAGTGCCTTTTAATCTCTTGTCAGTACGTAAACCTCAAAGATTTCACCCTGTGGACGATCTAGCACCTCAGGGCTTTTCCTTAATCATTCTTTTCCAGACTGATAGGGGTGGCTGATATTTCTTAAACAAAGCATTTTGTTTTCAAAGAGATCTTTTTAATTGCTTTTCTGTCTTCAGGGACATATTGAAATAAAACTCCAGTCAAACTGAATAGCTTCAACACCAAAGATGCTTGTGTTTGTGTAATGCTTCATCTTTTGGAATTACTTCTTTTTGTTTAAATCCATGTGTTTAATCTGTTGGATATCAAATTGTAAAAAGAATTGGGACACTTTCATCAAGCCTTCACATGACCTCATGAGTACAAATGGCTTCCAAGAGGCACTTTAGAAGGTGATTTTTAGGAATACTCATAAAGAGTATGATTTCTTCACAGGGCCTCAGTCATTTCAATAGCCCATTCTCTCATGTCAGTGAGTGAACTTTTTGAGCATTATTTTGCAACATTTTCTTAGTGTTTCTTAATTCTGTTTTCAGTGTATGTGTTGTTAATTGTGAACTGCTAACCAGGATCAGACTTGCATTGAGGTTTGATACCACTAGGATTTCTTACAGACATGTGTTCCCAGAAGTAGCTAAATAATTAATAGAAATAGTTGACTTAAAAGATACACTGGTCACGCTTCTTATCAGAAACTTAATGTATAGTTTAGAAATGGTTAAATATACAACCTGCTACTGTTATGTACTAATCAGGCCTTTAAATCATGTCTATTATAGGTGTGTGTGATTACAGGTAGAAAGTAACAGAAGGTTGTTTGCCATAGCTTTAAAACCTGTTTGAATACTGAAGTACTCAAAGATTCCACCAGCCATTTATGAGCCTTTTATAAACTGCATTATGAATGTAATGTTTGAGATTGTGACAAAGAGCCGATGGCTATTCAATCACTGTTGCTTTTAACTTTGTTTTCTTATCCCAGTAAAGGAGGATGTTCCCATTCTTGTTTAGAACAGAAGTACATACAAGTGTTTGCTTGATCTGAGCAAAACGGTAGTGAAAATCTGTCCTGATTACATGGATGTTTGCATTGATTTTCAGGTTGTGTATTGTTTATCTAAAGAGGATTTTCTTATTTTTTCAAGTAATCCATAAATCGCAAAGTTTTGTGGGCAATGATGTTTTAGAAGAGTAGGAAGTTGCAGGTAGAAATACAGGTGTCAGCAGTCCTGGACTTCATTTCCAGCTCTGCCAACGGCAGAGATTTCTAAGAATACACTTTTGAAGCAGCCTTACACTTGCTCCCAGGGACAAATACTGGTCTGCATCCATTTCAGGAGGGGTGCCTGAAGTCAGGCAGCTGAATGAAACTAGCTGTTGCTAGCGGGCTGTGTACCTGAGCTTACTGCTTTCTGTCATGGAGACTGACATAGCTGCCCATAACATCCATACGGTCACCACCTCGCAGTGCTCCTTAGAGAGGAAGGGTGATCACAGCCACATTGTTAGCCTTTCCGCCATCGCGTAGGGCTGCTTCCTTGGTTACAGTTACAATCCCAGTGAGTTTCAAAAGAGTTTATGGTTCATAAGTAAAGGATGTCACACAGCTACATGTTAGTAACAATAGTGTAGCTTTGTATACAGCTGTTTTTTAGGGGAGTGGACTACTTCACAGTACCTGCTGAAATCTTGT